ATCTATACATATATGTATATATGTATATATATATATATGATATTACATGAGTATGTATATAACACATATATATATATATATATTAATATGTACATACTATAGGGAACCCCAGGAATGGTATTGGTATTTGTTTAGGCGTCTATATTGATTCTAGGGCCTGGGGATCAAGGTTTAGGGCTCGTGGAGATCCAGGCGCCGACACCGTTACGCCCAGCAATTTAAAGAACAAACAAGCCCTAACACTCCAAAATAGCATGAAGTAACTACCATGTATGGGCTATCGGGCTTTCTATGCTTAGAAGCAAACTAAACCGCCAACCATCGAAGCCTTGTAGAAATGTTCACCGAGTGTCTCTTCCTACTGGCACGGAATCTTCCGGGCTCTTGCCAGCTCTTCTTGGGTGGTTTACAGGATGTACGGGCCCTAAATACTTGGCAGTCGCAAACAGGAACCCAAGGATGGAACGGACTAAATAAATAGTGTATGGATTTGGTTTATGATACTAGAAAGATGTTAAGGAATGCTAAAATACCATTGTTACTTCGTCCGCCCCTGTAGTCTCAGTACGTCATGTGATGTTCGTCTTCATAGAACGAGAGCCAATGGTTCGAGGACAGAAACCCTAGCACACTGAACCCGACACCCTACGCCCTAAAACCTCAAGCCCTACACCCAAAAGCCTAACCCCTAAAACTCCAAAACCCCAAACCCCAAAACCTAAACCCTAAAAACTCAATGATGATTACTACGACTCGTCCCCGAATCCCTGCCTCACCTCTCATAAGATGCTAAACCCTAAATCCATAAACCCTAAATTGCAATTTAGGGTTTAAGGTTTAGGTATCAATATAAGTCCGTCGAAATTTGGACACTTTGCATGAGCCACTACTGATCCAATTTCCTGTCGTGATGTCCAGCCGTCCAGCCGAGAACCGTTCTGAGCTCATGGCCCGCCGACGTCCCTTGCCCTTTCCCTTGCTGGGGTCGGCGGCCATCTCCTGCAACAAAGCCAGCAAGACCGTTAGCGTATTTCCAAGCAATCCTTAAACATCACGCTGCATGAGCTACCGCTTCTGGGTTTAGGGCTCAGGGTTTAACTAAACCCTAAACCCTAAACCTTTAAGGGCTCCTCTGACTTCGGGGTTTGGGTGCTGCGCCTTCTTACAACCGGCCCTCGCTCTGAGAGACTCCGAGACCCGAAGTCGCCAAAACAACCCCGGGCTCCCATCCCCGAACCCGGCTTAGTTTAGGGTTTAGGGTTTAGGGCTCCCATCCCCGAACCCGGCTTAGTTCAGGGTTTAGGGTTTAGGGCTCCCATCCCCGAACCCGGCTTAGTTTAGGGTTTACAGGGTTTAGAGTTGAGAGATTAGGGTTTTTTTAAACCCGAAGTTTCCGAAAATTCCGACGCATGGCATGGAAGTTTCCGGCTGAGCTGTAAGATCACACTCCAACCCTCCTCAGTCTCAACCTCTGGTGGTTGGGTGTAGGGCTTAGGGTTTATAGGAAAAGGAAGGACCTCGAGACTCAAGATCCGCCGCATGATATAGTATGGCAGAATTATTGGCGGTAAAGCTTCAGTTTAGCGGCCAAAGCCTCGGCCCCATAATCCTGTAAGGGTTTCAGGGTTTAGGGCTTAGGCATTGGGGATGTTTAAGGTCTAGGGTGCAGGCCAGCCAGCAAAATAAACCCTCGTCCTTCTTCACCGGCGCCGGAGGCTCTAAGAATTCCTCCTGCCAATCCCAAACAGGTTTGGGACAGTTCTTTCAGTGTGGGTTGGTTTTCAGGCTTAGTTTAAGGGTCTTTGATTCGGGTGTCTGCAAAATTCGGATTCAAGGCTCAGGGGCTTAACGGTCTCAAGCCGCGTCACACCCATCTATCTTTGCAGGTTCCGAGCTCAAGTCCCCCCCAGGCTCTCCGTAGCTAAAAGGGGTCTGAGTCATGAGTGTAAGTTTTCGGGGGTATTGTAGAGGAGAGAATTTCGTTAAGATGGCCCTGAGGAGCGGCATTTGGTAACTTTTCGGGCCCCAATCGAGCATCCGTCTGGCTCCGACTCCGACACGGTTTGCAAGGGGCCGAGCGCCCGTTCGGGGTGTGGGTGGCAATATATCGCGCTATAAGGGCGGTCGCCAGTGGGGGTGCGAGTTTCGCCCGACGCCTGAAGAGTCTTCGCCGGACGTGTCTTCAGGACGTGTCTGCGCTTCCCCGCGTGTCTTCGCGACGCCACGTGTCTTCATCTGGAATGTGTCTTCCGACGCCTGGTAGTCAGCGCGGTCTTGGGCTGGTACGTGTCTGCTGACGCCCATGTGTCTTCGCATGCCGTTCTAGGAAGCCTGAGAAGGCGCTTCAAAATGTGTCTTCGGTCTTCGCGAGAGTTTCGCACCCCCCAGGCGACCGCAATGGGTTTAGGGGTTTAGGGTTTAGGGCCCAGCATCACCATGGCATGTGCGGTTTAGGCTTGAGGGCTTTTCGATCCAGCCTCGAACTCCCGTCAGACGAGGCTCATGGTACGCAATTGGAACATTTATGTCGCAGGCCACAGCACCCCAATGCGACATAATCGAACAAACATTACACACCTAGCAAGATCCATTGTCGCAGCTCGTCAACACTGGGTCACCTCGCCACACTCAACGGCCACAATGCACGGCTCGCGGCACGGTCAGGGAGAGGACAGCTATTTTCATGCGGAAACACCGCGCAAAGCGCAAAGGGGTATTGAAAGCATTTCTTCAGCTTTCACGGTGGGTTGCTTCTTACTGCAAACACCAGCTTCCATGAACCGCGAAGTCAGGTTCTCGAGCGCCAAGCATGTTCGATTCACCATAAACTAAGACTATTATTTGTGTTGGTTAGACTGCTTTCTCCGTGCAAATATCACCTTCTTGCCGCGCATTCTGACTTCCGGATACGGTGGTGCTCAGACCAAAGCGCCAAATGGCATCGGCAAACCTGCACTGTAGCACTGGAGGGCCCTTGATGCTTCCTCCAGACTACAGGCATCACAAGGACCAAACTAGCATGTGTCGTGCCTGACACAGACGCATTTGGTTGGAATAATGTGCGAGCCTTAATAATTAGACGAGGATGTTCGGCCCCTCTATAGTATAACTACAATAGGGAACCCTATAAGGCATAATATTGGCAATCATATAGGCTTTAATATTAAGCTTGACCTTTAAGCTTCCCCAGTCATTATCAGGGGCCTGTTTCGGGTGTAGGGTTTCGGGTTCAGGGATGGTGAGTATCCATGGCCGACTATGCCCCAACATCCCCAAACCCTAATCATTCAAGTTGTAGTAAAGCCCACATGGTAAAGGCCTCGCTTCGCGAGGCATCCAAGGCCAAGATCTGCTGACTTAGCAGGGTAGCTTGCAAACCACACTCTGCGCGAACCACGCACCTCGGTTTGAGGGGCAGGGGTGGTTCTCTAAACTCAATTCTTAAGTCCCTTGTTAAGATCACCAAAATAGTACGGCACCCTTATGAAGAGGACCCTAAACGAGACCCTAATTGAGCGAGTTACCCACATGCCTTTCTAGGGCAGGGATGGTTTTGTAGCATATTACCCCTCCCTGCATGGAGAGTCGGAGAGTGCGGGAAAGCAAGCGGAAGATGGAAATAACACTGGCGAAGGGCCGTTTATGCACTGGCTTCATATGAGCCACTCGAAAGCCGACTTACATCAGCATCTGCGCCAGAGCCAGCTCATCCTGGGTGCCGGCACATCGGCCGATCTGCCGCGGAAGAGTCGGACCTTGTTCTCCAAGTCTCTGGAGGATGCGGACACGGCCTTCGGAAAACCCTTCATGCGGTTGTTGTGACGGTCATGCAGAAGTCGATTTGGCGGGCGATTATATTCTGCGTCATGTGCCCCTGACCGTGAGAAGAAGGAGTGCCGTGAATCGGTCCCAGCAACTCCGTCGTCACACAATCCCTTGTTCCCTTGACCGTGAGAAGAAGGAGTGCCGTGAATCGGTCCCAGCATCTCCGTCGTCACACAATCCCTCGTTGCCGTGAATCGGTCCCAGCATCTCCGTCGTCACACAATCCATCGTTTCCTCGAGCATCGGTGGCATGCGCGACTGCTTGCCTTCCGTGGCGATGAGGTCTGCCTCTGGATTGCAGGGCTCTTCGTCCAAAGCATGCTCCTCGGGCTGGACGGCCCAAACGCTGTGAAGTATATCCATGCCAAGGCTCTCTGGCTTGCAAGGCTCCGGCAGCTTTGCAAGGGCCTCAAAAACTGGAAAGGCTCCCATCATGGCGGAGAATCGAGGGCCCTATAAGCCAAAGGCTTGCTGCACCAACACAAATAGAATTTGCATCAGCGCAAAGCTCCACGAAACTAAGTGCACTCGAAGCGTAGAGCTCTCTGCGAAAGGCTGATACAGTTCGCGAGATGTCCGGGGAAGAGTCTCTGTCAGTCTCTCTGCTCCGCATCTGCATCAGGTTGCCCTAAACGCTAAGCCCTAAACCCAGATTCCTAAGTCCTTCTTTAACCGACACCTTAAAGATCAGGCTTTCGGGGTTCTCCCTTTAACCGCCTCAGAATATGCCTTTATATCTATCTATCGAACTATATCTACACCTTTAATGTGTATATATATATACACATTATAAAGACATACATATATTCACATGTATATATATATATATATAGATGGATAGATATACCTATTCCTTCTATTTCGAGTTTATATATATATATATACACACACACATATATATATATATATATACACATATGTATACACACCTGGAGGAAGGGATATTGGAAGGTCTGGAGAGGCCCTCCTTGGCCGTGATGACACCAATCCGGTGCATGATCGAGGCCCAAGCTTCGGGAGCCTTTCAAGGCTTCTCGGGTGGCTCTTGTTGGGCTTTCTGGGGCGTTTTGGGGCTTTTTGGGTGATGGTTTTTGGGACTTCAGGGCTTTAGGGTGTTTTGTTTTTTTAGGTTTAGGGCTCTTTGGTTTTAGGGCTTAGGGCTTGGAGGCTTCCCTGAACCCCGAATAACCTACCTTTTGAAGGATTTCTATCCACAGAAACAGAATCAGGAGCCCTAGAACGGTAGGTTCTCAAGGGGTTCAGGCAGCGCTTAGGGTTTAGAGCTGAAGGTGAGGTTTAGGTTTAGGGCTTTGGGCTTGGGCATAGAGTGTTTCGGCGGTTGTGGTTTTATCAAAGAGTTTGGGTTCCATAGGGTAGTATGTTGGAAAAGGGTTGCTTCTGATTCTCTACGGTTCAACGGTGGGCTTTGGGGTCTCAAGGGTGTCAGGCTATTCCGGTATTGCCTAAGGTGCTTTTGCTTTGTACAAACAGTGTGTAAAGGCTTTAGGTTGCTTTGCATGGAGTTTCTGTTCGTGTTTAGGGTTTGGGCTTAGGGCTTCGGGGTTGGGGGTAAGGGGTTTGAGATTGGAGGTTTGTGGGTTTTGCGACGGCTGGAGTTTTTGAGGACTCGATCAGGAAATGTACAAGAGTTTGCAAAGGTATAGGCCTACATGTTTTGTGAATCCTAGCAGCCTTCGGCAGTTGTAAGACTTTACGGGCGCTTACGGGATCGTATTCGGTGCTGGGGGCGTTAAGCTTCGTCTACAGGGTTCGGCTGTTTTCGCTTGGGGGGTTTTCGGGTGTCAGACTTCAGATTCCGGGGCTTGGCGGGGCTCTGGGGCCCCAGGGTGACAGATTTTTAACATTGCGGTCGAAAAACTTCAACGCTCGATTGCATGCAAGGCTGTACTTTGGCTTACAAGACAGTCCAATATCACATTCCACTATATTGTATTTCGATTACGTTGTATTGTGTTGTCAGTATTGTGTACTCCGTATTCGGGGCTCGGGTATGGGCAATTGGGGTTTAGATCTAATGGCCGTGCTGTTGGAGAGGGTTATCCAATGCCATTTCTTGGAACGAGTGTGTTGGCATTGCCGGTTCTTTCCTCCAACGAGGTCTAGTGTCAGTTGGGTTCTGGTGAACCATTGTGCCATTGGGTTTCTTCGAAAGAATCGGAAGGGACTCGAGGCCATTTACGCTTGCGACTGTTCGATCTGAACAGCTCTGGCTTCTAGCTCCTTTAACCCTGCATCTGGTAAACCCGCAAACCCCCTAAACGTAAAACCCTGAGGCCTAAACCCCAAACCCTATAAACTCTACACTCCACCAAATCCTAAGCCCTACACCACCCTCAGAACCTGACTGCTGCGCTATGCTCGACAGCTGCCCTGAAGGCTTGGCTCTGATTGGAGTTTAGGGCTTAGGGCTTCGGGGTTATGTTGTCGTACATTAATGTTTACACTGCACAGTACTACACTGGATTCTCGGCGCGGCCTTTTTGCGAGATTTGGCACCTTGCTGTCCCTCGCCGTCCTCGTCCTGCAATCGGAACCCAAAACAACCAAACCCAAGCCTAAACCCCTTCACTCCAAATCAGACACCAGATGGCTGAACCGCAAAACCTGGAAGCCCCAGAACCCCGAACGCTTAGAAACCTGGCCCGAGCCCTGAAACCACAAACCCGACTTTGAGCCTCCAGGCTTCCTGAGTTCGGTTCAGGGTCTATATTTGCCGTGCATCACTATCGTTTTAGGCTTACCGGAATTAGGGATTAATTATCTCTGAAAGTCTAGCAAAAAAGTAGAAGGCCACATTTTGCAGTATCACAGAAGCCCCACTATGTCCAACAGTCGCAGCTCGTGGCAGTAAATACGGCTCACCATTTCAGGGTGCTCGATTGTGCGTCAAATGCAGGAGCCTCGACCGTTGGACTAGGGTTTTGGTGGATAAATATCGTACCAGGTTCATGTAAAGGAGCCCTTATTAAGGGACAACATGTGTTTAATATATTCCGACACCTACATTACAGGCTCGCCAGAGCCTTAATTGGGGATTGGTGACTTGGGGTTTGGGATTCCAAAATCCCGAGCTTGAGCGATCGCGGATTGGGGTTTAGGGCTTCGCAACCCCGTGACTTCATCCATCAGACAATATTGGGGCTCATGTAGTATATACCTAACATATACGAAAAACCTAGAGGCTGCATAACATAAAACCATGGAGGCTCAGTCTGCTCCAAAGTTTGGAGATCTGGGAAGGGCAGGCAAAAGTGACTGGAGCCCCGTAAACCCCCAAACCCCCTGAACCCTGAAACCCTAAACCACTGCATCCCTGAAGCCCTCAACCCTGAACCATAGAAGATCGCCAAGGCCCTGAAGCTAAAACAACCTTAAACCCGGAGACCTTAAACAAAAAAAAGCCCAAAGCGCACCACATAAATTCGGGTTTAGTACCAAGACTTTGTGAAATTCGTGCTTGTGCCACAAGGGCAAGGGTTTAAACAAGGGATAGGATAACGAAAGAGTGGGGCTCTTACAATACAACAGGCACCTTACCTCACTACCTGTACCCCCCCATGCAGTTGATATACTGGGTAGCCAACTTGACTCTTAGGATCCATGGAAAACAAGAGGTGACCAACACAAAGGAACTGCCATTGAGAGCAATTACATGCAGACTCTCTGAAGACCATCTGTCTTGAACCGTTTTGAATGAGTCGGGTTAAACATAAGCTGAGGTCCAATTACCCACCAAAAACCCTCAGAACTCAATTTGCAAATTCTACGTGGGCCAGTGCGCATTTAAGGTCGAGTGGCGCTAAATTCGCCAAAACGTCCAATACCTGAATCCTACATCCTAAACCCATGTGCAGCATATCGGATCGCCTTTCTGGTCAATACCCTGGTGACTTGCTGTCCGTCGTGATCTCGATCCTCCTCCTGCAACCAAACTAAAAGCAGCATACTGTACCCAAGGCCCCAGCAATTAACAAGCGACTTCCGACAAAGGCTCACACTTCCCCGTAGCTCCTTGGTTTGAAAAGTATACTGCCAAGCTTGGTAGACAGACGATTTTGGCTGATTGGGCTAAAACACCTAAGAAGAATGAGACAGGAATCGGCATCCCTCCATCCGGTAGGACTGCGGGTTGGGCTTAAAGGTGCTTGGACTGCGAGTTCACGGTGTCAGGCTTGGGGACCCGTAGGTTATAGTGTTCAGACAGCCACGGCAGCAGCAACAACAACAGCAGCAGCAGCAGCTGCAGCCGCAAATGCTACTGCTACTGCTGCCGCTACTGCAACTGCTACCCCGACTCCTGCTGCTACTGCCACTTCTGCTGCTACCCATTGTGTCCGGCAGTCATTCCTCTTCATGCAACGGGCAGACTGTTCCTTGCTGCCTCCAGTTGCACCCTGTCGCCCAAGAATCGGTCCGGTGCTGCCACTACCACAACTACTACCACAACCACCTCTCCCACTCCCCCACTCCCACCGCCTCTGCAACTACCTCTGCCTCTCCCGCTCTTTCTGTTGCATCCTGCTGCTTTAGCTGCTCTGCTGCGGTTGCTGCTGCTCGCGGTTCCTTTACATACGTAGAAATACAAGAAATCCTGCCTGAAAGTAACATGAATTATGGTCCAGTAGATTGGCCTCCTCGGCTTCAACCCAAACCAGCAACAAAGGTTCATGACGTTGATATCTAATCCACGAAAGAAGTTGCAAATACTCCTCCTCCCCCGCAACCCTGCCTTTGCCTTGCCTTTTGTCTTCGCTTTCGCCACCTGGACTGCAGCTTCTGCCAGTGGCGGATTTCGGCTTGTTCAGGGCTCAGAATTTCGATGACGACGAGGGTTTGTGGTCTACAGTCACCCGCGACTCCACAACATTTTAAACTTAAGTAAGGAATCTCCCGCAAACCACAATGGGAGCCCAGGCAAGTGGCTTTCCGGTCTCTGAGTCCAGGGTTTTGGGATCAAAACCCAGGTCTGCTACTTATGCCTGGTGCCGCTACTGCTGCTGGCAGATGCTGCTTTTCATGTCTAGCCATGCATGACAGACATGTTGCTTCAACTCATACCGAAGTCGCTGCCTAGGACTTGTAGTAGAGTGTTGGCGAGCCGGCATGACCAGGCCCAAATTCTCGATCCCACCCCTGCCCTTCAAAATCGAGTCAACGCACCCTCACGCTTTGCTTGCAGTATCCCTAAACGGTCCTTAACCCCTAAACCTTAAAAACTTTATAACTTATATAAACCCCTAAACCCTAAACCTTTATACCTTATATAAGCCTTTTCGTGTCCTGGCTCTCGCCAGGCCTTTGGCCCTTTCGTCTTGCCCTTTGTCTCCTGCACAGGCGGTTGTTCGACACGTCTATGCTGCCCTCAACCCCAATGAGCTTCAGGGTTCTAGGGCTTAGGGTTGAGGGGTTTAGGG